GGCAGCCAAGCTCATTTAACAACCGCCTAGCTTGGCAAGAGAAAATTTGGGCCGAATTGTGGGTCGTAAGTTAAGGACTGCCTGTTTAGATCAAGGTCCCCCTTTTCATTATTGGAAGCCTCTGCGGTTTTGTCTGAAACTGGGGTGCTCCTTTTTAAATTCCAATTTGCCAAAACGACAAGGAAAGCCCAATGCCGGCTCGGGCTTCCAGTCGGCCACTTCTTCAGCGGCGGCCGATATTTTATTTCTCTCTATTTAGTATAAATCTGGTTTTAACGAGGCATCCTGTAAACTCAAGTGAACCTTGCTGCTTAATTGAGAACAGAACGGCGGCGGGGAGAGTGAAGTAGAAACCACATGGCCAGGCAGCGTGCGCGGTCACCGCATAACCAGGCGTGGGCCGGGCATCGCGCACGTCATCGGTCACGCATGTGTGGTTTTTTTTTGAGTAGAAGTGGCTTCTTCTTAACTAAGCCAGGCCCTTTTCACGTGTCAGCCAGCCTGCTGCAGATGTGGTTCAGGCAGGGGACGTGCCAGAGCGCACAGAGTAGGCAGATATGGGCACCAAGCAGCATTGTGCCTCATTCATTTGTCGGGCATCAGCAGTCTTTGTGCTTCTAGTTATATCATCTGTCATGTGGCTAATTGCTGGCTGTAATCTCTTGGGCCTAACACGGCAGGTCAACACAGTAATAAGCAGCCACTGAATGGAATTAATACCACGCAGTCCAGATGATCTAGAGAAGGGGACGTCGATCCCTTTGTTGTCAAACCAACCGAGGGATTTTGTCAAGTTTTTAAAAACATTTCTTTGAAACAAGCGTGGGAATAGGAACAGTTGAGAGATTATATAAAGCAGAAGAGGAAAAACGCAAGAAAAACGAGGCATAAAAAGAACTTTCCTCCTCTGACTTCTCACCACCACCACCGTGACAAGTGTAAATGCTTCACCTTCACTTAGCAAACAAAAATAAAGAGCCTCATCCCTTAATCCACCTGCTAACAATAGGCAAATTGAATAAGTCAGGTCTTATTCGATCCATTGACCAGCAAAAGAGACAGACAAAGCGAGTGTCAAAACATTTCTAAGGTGATAACAAGCTGGGGATTAAACAGGAGCCTGTGACATAAATGGAATCTGATTTCCTAAGCACATTTACTTGGAAGGATTCCCGTTGGATTCCAAAAAGGTTATTTTTACATAACAAGGTCCCAATGGGTATATGGTACCGTATACCCATTGGAACCTTGTTTCATAAAAACAACTTTTTGGGAGGATGTTTATATTGGATGGATATACTCGTGTATAAATCTGCCCTCCCTCTAGTTGTGTTAGGCTACAACTGCCAGGATTTTCACAGTGTATATCAATGTTTCCCTGCTAGGTACAGATTCTGGGGGATATACCACATTTCAAGGACTCCCAAGTTTGAAAGCAAAAAATCTGTTTAAACCTTTTCTTAAATTTCTTCTGCTTATGGTTACGACTTTGCTTACCTATACAGGTACAGGTAGTCCTCAGCTTACCGACCAGAATTGAGCCCCACGTTTCAGTTGTTAAGTGAGACATTTGTTATTTTTGCCCCCGTTTTACAACCTTTCTTGCCACAATTGTCAAGTGAATCACTGCCGTTGATAAGTTGGTAACCCGGTCATTGAGTGAATCTGTCTTCCCTGTGCACTTTGCTTGTCAGAAAGTCCCAGAAAGTGGTCACATGACCCTGGGAAAAAGCAGCGGTCATAAGTATGAACCAGTTGCCAAGCATTTGACTGTGGGGATGCTGCAACGGTCTGAGAAATGGTCATAAATCGCTTTCTCAGTGCCATTAAAACTTCAAACGAATGATTTTTATAGGTCAAGGCAACCTGGGTTAAGATTTAGTTGGTTCGAAACGAACATTGTTCTCTTCTGGTTATTTCCCATACAGCAGAGCCCATATGGTAGTGCCAGTTAAACATCTGTCAAATTTGCCCAAACTCTCCTTATGTCATACAGGTTAAAACCTGCATTACCTGTTGGTATTGAATTATAGAAAAAAAAAACAGTTAAGTGGCTAAGAGCAATAAAACATCTGCCTCCTAACTCCTGTCTCTCATAAATCACCTGTCAGTCTGAGATATAGATAGATAGATAGATAGATAGATAGATAGATAGATAGATAGATA